ATGTATTTTATTTTATAAACTAAAAAACTGTTAAAAAAATTTATGTTGGAAAAAAATATATAGCAATCAATTCTTCTATAAATTCTACAAATTGGACCTATTTAATTTTCTTTGTTGAAAGTAGATAAGCAAAGAACAATAATTTGCTAAAAGCATATAAGTAACGGAAAATTATAGTGGATAGCAAAAATCTTTTATGTAATTCAAAATTATGTCACCTGTTTTTTAAATTTTCAAATATAACAAAAATTTTACTTATATTAATTGTATATCAGATACTCATATATTACTATATGAGTAGTATATTTGATATATGTCACATTCATATTGTACAAATGATCATATTAGTAGTATATCAGATATATATAACATATATATTGCAAGTATATCAGACACTCATATCAGTAGTATATCACATAAATATATGAGTACTTGGATATATTACAGACATATATCATTTGGATAAAGTTCTCATTTTAAAATTGGATCCCTATTTAAAAAAGTGTTATATTTGAAAAAAAAACTTACTAATTTTATTAAAAAAACTTTACCATATTTACAAATGCCCTAAGTAATAAGAGATTGAGAAACATATAGACCTAATTAAAATCTATATATATATAATAATCATGCAAGATTTTTTTTTTTTTAGTTTTTTTTTTCCGTCTTGCCACTTTTGGTAATAACTTAATCTAATAGATATTGGTAGGCATAACATGCTCGAAAGCAAGTGGTAGATAACCTTTTGACCAATCCCAAATATTTTAGACGAATATCTGTTTAATTTATCGACAACTTCATTATGTAGAATTTTCAATTTCAAAATATCTTGACTTTTAGTAGAAACAAATAAATAAATAAAACAACATTAAATGTGTAAATTATTTGCACTTTTCTAAATTCTTTACATAAATTAAATAGCTATCATGATTGGATAATTGGTCTAAAAGTTCTTACGCTTTCATGTCGACGACTCGGTCTAGAGGAGTCCAACCTATCTAAAAATTAATTTTTCACTTGTATTGATTTGAAGGAACACTAAAAAAAGTAAGGACGTGTTTCTTCCATTTCTATTGATCAGGTTTGGCAAATTAAAAATTAATTTTAAGAAAACATAAACTCAATTTAAATTGATTTTTAAGGTATCACTCACCCTTTTAAAAAATTAATTAGGTTTGACAAATTAAAAATTAATTTTAAGAAAACATAAAATCAATTTAAATTGATTTTTAAGGTATCCCTAACCATTTTAAAAAATTAATTATACTTAAATATCTTTTTTCAGAATCATTAATTCTACCACCACTCTCAAACACACCTTCCGTGATTTTCAATTATAAAAATTTAAAAATAAATAAATAACACACCATCAAAACTCCAATCCTTGATATTATAAGAACCATGAAAGTTGCAGTCCACTTCCCATAGCTTCCAAAATCAAAAAATGGGATTGTTTGAATAAAAGGAGTAGTTACGACTCGGTTGTTGGGAGTATAACACAATAAAACAACGTGGGATTAGGGTGTTCATAGGTTGGATGGAATTCACCTACTTTTTAGACCTAATTTCAATTGTTCCTTTGTAAATTTATTTAACACAAATAATCTTTCTTTAATAATAAATCCAACTCAAATCCTACATTGAAATATTTTGGTCGGGTTGATTTGTCTTATTCGGATCGTCGTTTATTCTCTAACAAAACAAGTAATAATGATAAAATATCTTAAATATTTATTTATATATTGTCTAACAATAAATCAAGACCCGTTATAAATCGATGTTTATTTATACGGTGAAAAAGTACTTAAAAAAGCTTTAAAAATTGTGTTTTGAAAAGTCATTGTAGAATAAATAATCGGTACATAATTATTAAATGAAATGGAATTAAAATAACTATATATAGTTTTAAAATTAATATAAGTTTGGGTTGGTTCGGTCTCAAACTTATTTTAGGGGAACTCTTGAACCAATCAAACTCATAGAATTTTCATTTATTTGAACTCAACCAAGGATTTGATTGATCGTTTTTTTGGGACATCGAGTTTTTTGAACACCCTACTGTACGGTTGGATGAGGGTTAAAATTTAAATCATAGTTTATAAACTTATTTAGGTTAAATCTCATTTCAGTCTCTGTTTTAAATGGTTTAAATACTATTGTGTTTCTTTTTTGTTAATTTTGTCCGTACACTCTCAAATTGTTTATTTTATTTTATTTTTCCGTTTTATCATATAATTTCACATTGTTTATTTTGATTTCTACTGCTTCAAAAAAACATCTGCTTTTGTTTTAGTTACTTTGTGACCATTTTAATTCATATTTACAAAATTTTAATACAAACTTTATACCCATTAAAACTCTTTAATACAAATATTAAATTTATACCTATTAAAACTCTTTAATACAAATATTAAATTTTTAAATAGTAAAATAAAGCTTAAACCTAAATATTTTTACTAAAAAGAAAAAAACATGCATTTTTTCTTTTCACATGGGGACTTCAGCTTGGCTATTGATTGATGGGCTAACAAACGGTTAAAAAAGTAAGAAAATAAATAATTTTTTACTCATAATTCGCAGTGATGATTATTATATATTATTTAAATGCCGTTATTATTTTGAAGGTAAGATTTCAAATTTTGTTACAAAACCAAAAAAAAAAAAAAAAGTAAGAATTCAAATACTCACTTGCAAATGTTGCTGGTGATACCCTAATTGCTGAACTATAAAGCAAATAAAGTGCATGTTGGCGTTATTTTGCAAAGATAAAAATAAACCTGAGAGAATTTGAATTACTAAGAAGCTATGAGTTAGATCTTCTACCACACATGTTGTAAAAAAAAAAATCTGTTTAGCAAGTTGATAAAATTGATTATTTATTAATTTATACAAACTCACATTTAATGTTCTTTTTAAGTACAAAATCCATGTAAATTTCTGGTTTTGAGATTAGCTCTCAATTTTACTACTATATCTTATATATTTTTTTTTTGTATTAAGATTGGAACGAAATTTTGATCATTCCAATTTTTTATGACAATTGTTTCCCTAAATGTTCATCCAAAAACTAGAGTAAATAGAATAATTTGTATTTTAAATCATATAGAAATTTAAATAATTTCCTTATGACAAATTTAGATATTAAATATCAATATAAAACTAATTAAAATAGTATGCCTACGTTTATTGCTATGGTTAAATCATAGCAATTTAGTATTAATTTACTAAATATTGTAGCCTGTTTTTTAAGGTTTAAAATTCAAATTCATCCAACATTAATTAGGTCCATAATGTCTTGTTTCTTGTTTTCTCATTTTAAAGAAAAATAGAATTGTATGACCCATAGATTCAAGAATTATAAATTATATTTTTATTTATGTTTTGGAACAAATTAAGAAAATGAACTACAAACAATAAATTTGGTTCGGTTGTTTCTAACCTTTCTTTACATTTTTTATAATGTTGCTACAAAAAAATAGAAACAAGAAACATAAATAGTTGTCGTATGTTTAACTTTTTTAATAAAATTAAAAACAAAAAACATTACCAAATGAGCCATAATTTACTGTCTTTGAGCTGGTATTTCTTAAATCACAATTGTCTAACAGTTTTAAATTCCTTACCCATGCAGTGTGGATATTTTAGTCACAGATCCAAATATAATTTGAAAAATTAGCCTTCACTTCCAACTATTAATTTAAATACGTTGGGAATCTACAATTCATTATATCAAAGTGAAAACATCCTCGACTAGAGACTGAGATGTTAGATATTGCTTTCATGAAATAAGTATAAATTAAAAAAATAGAAAAACTAAAAACGAAAAAGTTGTAAACCAGTTCGACTTTTAGTGAATTATAACAAAGAGTTGATAGGATTTGTTCACCCACCAATCAGGTACCTAATAAAATGGAGAAATTTAGAAACAATTTCCAGTTTACATTAAATTTTAATTTGGCTTTGGATTTCATAATTCTCACACGTACCAACTGTTCCACGTACAAAAACAGAATTACGTGAGTGTTAGCCATTTTTATATTAAATTAGAGATTGTTACAGATTAAATAAATATATAATCACAACTAATTTACATCATGATAACAAAATACAAAATATACATAATCTTAACTGCCTGAATATCCCCCTTAAATTTAAGGAGGCAAAGGTGACATGGCTTTTATCTAATCTCTACTCATACCACTATTGGCTAAATGACCAAAAAAATAGGTCTTTTGTTTAATTGGACACAATATGACATACAAATCACAACAACCAAAAAGAAAATTAAAACGATAGAGAGCTATATGTTTTTCATACCATATTACTCTATTTTTCTAGTCATTCAATTTTATGGAAAAAAAAAACTTATTATTATTTTTATATTAATGTCTCCATCTTTACTAACCGTCATTGTCGTCACCAACCTCTGAAATGAAAGAGAGACGGAGAGTCTCCCCTCTCTCAGATTTGTACGTCGTTTCATGATAAAAGAAGGGTTTGACGACAACATAAAAATCGTCGGAAACCGGTAGTAGTTAATGATCATAATAGAAAAAATGGTCAACAACAAGTAATAAACTTTATCACAAATTGTTTAAGTACAGCGAGTGGTATTGAAGAATTTGAAGTCACAAGAGAGAGGTGTGCTAATTAGCCTGAGCTTAGCCCAAATGAGACCATTAATCTCAAACCAAAAGTCTATCTTGCCCCAATTCTTCATTTATCTAAGTGATAATTTTTTGTTGTAATAAGGACAAAGTTGAAAATTTGAAGAAAAGTCAAAAAAGGGCGTGTGTGACATCATGAATCCCCACTTTTGTCCAACTTATTGGTTCCGCAGCCGTATTATCAGGTCCAACTAATCTCGTTTCAGCAGTACACATTAAGCAAAATTCCTTCGAACTTTTTTTTTTCCTCTCTTCACAATTTTTCACTTGCAAACCAAGTTAAGTTACGCCCCAATTTTCCAATTCTATTTTTTAAACAAATTTAAAACTCAGCTACTCCACTGCTCCTCCTCCAATCTGTTCCTTCTATAAGAACCATCCAATAAGAGCCCTAATTCTCCAATTGGGAACTTAAAATGGCGCGCAGTCGCACAGCCACTCCCATTTCTGCTCTCTCCTTTTTCCTCCTCCTATTGTGCGCATGCCCCGCCTCCGCCGCCGGGAAACACCGCTCCCGCCGCCCCTGCCGGCGACTGGCCTTCTACTTCCACGACATAATCTACAACGGCGAGAACGCCGAGAACGCGACCTCCGCCATCGTCGGAGCTCCGGCGTGGGGGAACAAGACGATTCTGGCCGGGCAGAACCATTTCGGCGACGTGGTGGTGTTCGACGACCCGATTACGATGGACAACAATCTGCACTCGCCGGCGGTGGGGCGGGCGCAGGGGTTCTACATCTACGACAAGAAGGAGATCTTCACGGCGTGGCTAGGGTTCTCGTTCGTGTTCAATTCGACGGAGCACAGAGGGAGCCTGAACTTCGCCGGCGCGGACCCGCTGATGAACAAGACGAGGGACGTGTCGGTGGTGGGGGGAACAGGGGATTTCTTCATGGCCAGAGGGATTGCGACTCTGATGACGGATGCGTTTGAAGGCGAAGTTTATTTCAGGCTTCGAGCGGACATTAAGCTCTACGAATGTTGGTGATTGCTGATTGGAGAAGATGATGGATTGTGGAGTTTCTGTCTGTTGCGTCGTTTTTAATCTCTTTCTTCCCTATGAATTGACATGACATATTTTTCACTCGTTTTAAAGTTGATCGTTCGATTTGCACCCTCCAATCCATAACGGTAATGCAATAAAACCATGTAGTTGGTTGGATTGGATAAGGATTAAATCATAGTTTATATAACTTTTTAGATCTCATTTCCTACTCTTCATTTTGGTTTATTATGATCTTTTAGGTTTTTAAAATTTTAAAATATATGTTTTAATGTTAATTTCAACTTCCATCACCCAACTAATTTGCTACTTATCCCATTCCCACTCCACTTTAAAAATCTAAGAGTCTTATTAATTGTTTACCAAAAATTTGTTATTTATTAAAATTATTTGAATAAAATATATAATAATAACTGTATACTAATTTTTTCTTTTTAGTTAATTATAAATACATTATTGTGTTATTCTTTTTTTTTTTAATTATGAATTATAAAATATAATTTATTTTATTATTATATCATGGATAGTAAATATTCCTTATTATAAAATTTTATTTAATATTAATAAATAATGAATGATTAAAATAAAATGATATTAACTAAAATACTTTTTTTTATTAGAAGAACCATAATTTAATATAGAATATTATTAAATTTCATTATTCTTATATTTAATAATAATGAATTATATTTAAAAAAATCTATTGATATTAATTAATAATGACAAATTAAAATTAAAATTTTAAAAATTTGTCAACATAGGCATAGCTCAGCCTACGCCCATCGATAATTGACATATACTCCTCTTGAGATCCAAAGTTTGATTTCACATATCCTCAAATCGTTGTATTAAAAAAATTTAAATTTTAAAAAAATTAAATATAAATTTATAATATTTTATAATAAAATCACATTAACTAATAAAAATTGTATAAATTTCTATTTAGGAGAAAAATTATTAGTAGAATAAATGAAAAAAAATTATAAAGGTATAAAACAATTAATTAAAAAAATAACGAGTCTCAAAGAGAAATGATAAAAGTTGTAAATTAATTATAATAAATAGGTAAATAGTGGGATTAATAAAATTGTGCTAGGAGAGGAATGAAATTATAGGTATAAAAAAATTACAACTTTTTAAGAAATTAGATTACAAAGTTTGAGGTAGGTCCCCATTTGATTCTATTCCTACAATTTGAAAAATACCATCAAATAAATAAAAAACACAGCCAACACAAATTAGCAATCTCGGTCGACATGTCGTCACGTAAGGTGATATTGATAATTCTCCAAGAAATTTCTCTACAAAGAACCACTTTTATTCCAAAGCATAAAGGGTTAAAAAAAAAAAAATTTCGATTTAAAAAAAAAAAAGCTTAAATCTTGATATATCTACAAAATTGCCACTCTTTCTTTTTTTCTCTTTCTTAAGTAAAAAGAGGCAGCCTCCGATCTCCCGAGGCATAAGAAATAATACTCTTTTTAAGTGGAGAAATATAATTTGCCCCATGAAATGCAGCAGCTCGCAAGATGTTGAGAGGTCCAAAATCCACAGAGTAAGCCTTCTGGAAGCCGTCCAGAATCGCCATCATAGCAATATTTGCCGGTTTCCTCTCTGCTTCATATTTCTTCATCAGTGTCACCTGCATATCATTCATTCAGTTGACTTAGAATCCCGAAGACACTGAAAACGACCCGACCGCCCATCTGATAACGGTTTTATCTTTTATGTGTTTTAGAACTAGTTTTTCAAAAGGCTAAAACAAAGTCGTTGTCGAGAATGTCGAATTTCAGTGGATGTTTATGAGATCTAATGGGTCGGATCAGATGTCAATTGCTTGAAGGTCGAGTGCCTTGCAACTTCCAGTAACAGAGAACTTAAAGAAATGGACATATGCATCATCCTTCAGTTTAAAGATAAAGGAACGTAATGGGTCAAATGAACCAACATGGATTGACAATGACATGACATGTGATTCAAAAGGCAAGATGTAAACTTTACTTGGCTGCCTTTGAAGGTTTTGTGTTCAGATGACGATAGCCATCGACACCAAATGTTGTAAGGTCGTGTAGTTGTCCTTTATCCCGTAAAACCGATCCAAGTAACATAAACTTAAAGTAGCATGAATGCTCACAGTTATATATGTGTCAGAGGTAAAACTATCGAAAAGTAAAGTTAGATCCATCGTCCTAATATATGGGTCGGATGACAATTAATGTTCTAACCAGTTGCTAGACCAGCTACTATACAACCTCCCATGTGACCAAATGGAAAACTTGATTGATAGGAGACATAAATAAAGAACCTTCATATTGTTATAAGAATCATATATCATTCAAATGAGTAGATGCTGACCCAGGAGAAAGAAATCTAATGGAAAATCAATTCAGAAAATATGAAAGAAAATTACTATCAGCACTATAACTTGACAGTACTAATTACTAAATTCCAAAATATGAATAGAGAACACGACAGCAAAGATGATGAATAAAGGAAACTGAGAGAAAAAAATACCGCACCTCTCCAATGTCGGTTCCAAGTGCGACTCCTTCAGCTATGACTTTAGAAAGAGAGAAGGCATCTCCAAAGCCTAAATTAACTCCTTGGCCAGCCAAAGGATGAACAGTGTGTGCTGCATCGCCAATTAAAACCACGCGCTTTGAAGCATAGTTCTTGGCGTGATTCAAAGACAATGGAAAGACCATTTTTTCAGATGCCAACCTGACCACTTTCGGAGGAACTTCAAATTCTTCATCCACTGATACTGTGACATCCATGTTCAGCCACGAGAAAAAGTTTTGACTTCCAAATATGCTTGACTTTGGAGGAGGGCCATAACCGTAATCCAGAGCAGAGTTTACATCCTTCACAAAATCATCCTGATCCATTGATTTACGGTCGGTAGCCTCTTTCGGGTTCATAGTCCAAACTATATTACTATAGTTATCCCCAATTGGTAAAAGTGCAATTGGTCCAGAAGGCAAAAATCGTTGCCATGCGCAATGGTTTTCTTGAGTGTGTTCCACAGTACAGATAATGGCATTCTGTGAGTAATTCCATCCCGCTGTTTTAAACCCAGCTAACTCTCTAACACGTGACTTGGAACCATCTGCGCCAACCTGCAAGAAAACTCGGCAAAATTTTGACATTTGCCAAGCAAATTCACTAAAATTAAAAAACTTATCCTTCCAGCAACAGATTATTACCACCAATTTTGCATATAAACTGCTGCCGTCACTCAGATCCAATTTTGCCAAATGTCCTGGCTCATTTGATGTTGTCCCAGAAGATGTGTTGGCTGCCACCGTTGGTGAAGAGCTCGAGCGTAAGTTCATCGAGGTTAGTTTGGAAGAGTATATTGTTGTTTGATCATCTGTACACTGTTGAAATTTAGATATTCAGCATTGTGGAGAATCCAAAGGTAACATAACATGTAACGAGTTGAATAAGAAAGAAATGTTATCATTATTCAAGATATTTTAAAACCTTCAAATATTTTCATTGGATTTTGTTCAAGGACAATTATGATATAAATGAAATAAGTTATGACGTGTCTTCGATGATTGAATCCTTTGATGATGATATCTCTTAGTATTGAGAATGTTAAAATATAGAGTTCTCCTCACTCTCCATGTCTCTCCCCTTAATTGTCCCTAAATGCCTTTTTCCCATCCCTCTCTCCATGTCCCAACATTTGACAAGTCATTGAGTAAACAAAATTTTACAAATGCTTTCAACTTAAAAGAAACATTTCACAAGTTATTGAAGGTGAAAAAAATAGAACACCGGACTCAATAAGCTACTCAAGAGATTGCAAAGGGCATTTATCAGTACAAGAATTTACAGTAGACAACTACCTGTATGCGCGATAGTAAGGAACTTTGAAGCACTTTATTCTCCACCACGCAGCTGAATCCAAAGTCAAATGAGTACCGCCTCCATTAACTATTTAATTGAGTTGCATTCATTTTTGCAAGCAGGTCTTACCCTAAAGTTTCTTTATTTACATCTTTTGCGTGGTACTTTGTGTATCCTAAGCCTGTATAGTCCCACACCTAACAAAGAATGCAAGATGATAGGTTAGTAACAATTAATTTTTCCTAACATGAAAAATGCTTTCCAGGCAAAATTATATGCATGGCATTGGCAGAAAATAACATATTTAAATCAAGTTATACTTAAAAAACAAGTAATAATTATATATGAACAACAACTTTAGGAACCAACGGAGAAAACTCGAGAAGGTAGCAAGATATTGTTCATGCTTTCTACTGCCCAAAAAAATAATCATTCCAAACAAGTATTGACAATTAAAAACTACTTTTTATTATTAAAACAAAAAAACTGTTAAAAAAGATGGTTCCTCACAAGATCTCCTGAAAAAAGGCCAAAAATAGTATTAGACCACAGATGCTACCTTCTTCAAAATCTAGAGCAGGAAAGAGTAAGGTATTATTATTTATATATATATTTTTTAGCACATAGAGTAAGGTATTATTTAATTTAATAGTAAGTTAATAACTCAATCCCTTTCAATTGTGACATGATATTAGTAATTACAAGGGAGCTACTAATAATATAAAAAAAAAACTCATCTGAAACAATATATTTCTTTAATCACAATGCAAAATGAATTGTTTGAAAAGTATAGTCTATACCTGCATCTTATCAAAGTATGCATGTCGTTGTTGTTCAACATATTTCCACGCATCGATGTCTGGCCAACAAGAAATCTGTTATTTAAATTCTATACTATTTTTGAATCATGTTGAAGATGAAAGCTAAGCCAACATTGTTAAAGAACATTTAAATGATGCATGATGACGGGTGTATTACAGTGGTACAGCAAAAATATACTTTTAAGTAAAAATGATATGGCATCAAATTTCTGACAAAGTTAGCCAAGGAAATAATAATGGTATCATTTGATATTGATTCTAGAGAGAAACATAAGAATTTAGAATAAGTAAAATGATAACTACATAAATTCACCACCTTTGAAGAAAGATATAGTTGCAGGTGTCACTGTGCTCACTCTTGGATCTGGAGGGCCATCTTTCTTAAAGCCAGCTCCACCCTTTAATGCTGGATTACTGTCAATAATGGCAATAGACAACTGCTTAGTCAATGGCATGCTTGCTGCAAACACAAACAACAGGAGGATTAAATTAGACTACAGCCTTCATGAAAGAGGATCTTACTGATAAATATTCCATTTTTCACTTTCATCAATTAAAGTTGAGATTGTAAGATGAAAAAGACTCCTGATATTAATAGAGCCTTTAGTTTAAAATAAAATATGCAGATGATAAAAATACACAATAGACATACAGCATTTGACTCCAACCTATATTAACAACTCACTATATCCCCATTCATTATGTAATAATATAGAACCCAAAAATGTGAAGACATGAACAGTGTGTGCTTCGTCCATCTGCACTGTAAAAGTTGAGGAAATTATTCATACAAAAAACCACCTACCTAAGGAGCAAGCTAAGGCCAAGCCTACCATGCCACCTCCAACTATAGCAATGTCATGTTGAGGAAAGTTGTCTGTGGAACTTAGCTTCTCCCCTTGCAGCTTCTCCCCTTGCACCTGAGATTTGGGTGCATCAAATAAAAGAATTTTCTCAGTGACACAAATTGAGATATTGATAAGGTCAATCTTCTGAGAAGAAGTAAATCAATACTACTCATTTAGCAGACATAGTATTACATAGCTACGGTCCCCATTTGAGCCAGAAACTTTAGCAGCTGAACCAGAGCAGAAATTGTTCCCTCGAGCTTTCAATCCATAGAGATTAGCAGAAAGGTTTCTTCTAAATAACCTGTTCCAGCAGATATTATATCAAACTATTAACTTCATCCCACCTACAACTCTCAACGCCCATACAAACAACATCATCAGTACTTCCATTTACGAAGCTTCTGCCAAAATCAATTCTTCTCAACATAAAATGTATCACAATATAGCCCCTTTTCTGATGGCAAACATAAACGGCCCATTTCTTTCACAAAAGGGAAAATAACTCTATACAAGATAAAAATCTACAGCAAAATATTGGATTAAAAAATCCAATATAAAAAAAGAGCACCCAAACCAGCTGCCGACGGATGCCAAACTTTTATTCACCTACGTTACTGTGTTCCAGGATGGAGGGCAGAGAGCCAGCTGCCGACGGAGAGAAGAAACGGCAGTGGTCGTGGGTCACCAACGGGAGAATTTAGTGTGATTCAAATGAAATCGAGGGAAGACTTAATCAAACAATCCATGTAAACTATCAATTGGATTAATCATAGCTTATCCTTAGCCACATTTTAGAACCGGACATCACTGAACTGGCAATCCAGGAGAATTTTTACATAAGTGAAAAGATAAAGAACAAAAATGTTTAACTCTTCTCCACAGAAACAAACGGAACATAAATTGAATAACACCCATCATCCATACGATCTTAAATCGAGGGAATTTCATTTTCTTCAAGCAGAGTGGAAGAAGAATAGTGACATACCTGTTCATTTTTTTTGCTTGCTGGAGCTGAAGAAGACGACGCACAGAGAGAAGGAGATGGGGGCCGAGAGATCTTGTTGAGGAAGTGTTGGGCCTGTTTCATTTGGGCCTAAAGAGCTCATCCAAGAAATAGCACATTGGAAATGGCGTAAAGATGTTATTTTTTATCTTGAAAACAAAGCCAAAGCCCGTTACTTGGATAATTATCATGATAAAAATAACATCTTTACACAATGATAATTATTTGGATCGTGGGGGTGCTCAGGAGATAATTTGAAGAACCAATAAGCCAAAGCCCGTTACTGTCATTTCACTGTTCCAGCCATCAGCTCAGCCTCGCTATTCCTCCGACAAAGACTTCTTCAAGTACCTCAACTTTCACATGCTCCATCTGACTTCCATTGACCCATCAAAAAATGGGCAACTGTAATGGTCTGCCGGCCGGCCAAACCTCCACCGGCGAACCCCACGATCAGGCCGACTCCGACCACTGCCCTCCCTCTAACGGCGTCGTCAAGGTCCTCCCTTCCGATGCCGACCCTTCCCCACCTGCCCCCCTTCCGGAACCAATTTCCTCTTCCTCCTCTGCGCTGCCAGGCGTCGGCCGTGTCCTGGGCCGGCCGTTCTCCGACATCCGGTCAGTTTACTCCTTCGGCCGCGAGCTGGGCCGCGGCCAATTCGGCGTGACTTACTTAGTCACACACAAGGAAACGAAGCGGGAATTTGCCTGCAAATCAATCGCCACCAGAAAATTGATCATTGAAGACGATGTTGAAGATGTTCGGCGCGAGGTTCAGATTATGCACCACCTCACCGGCCACCCCCACATTGTTGAACTTAAAGAAGTGTACGAAGACCGGCATTATGTGAATTTGATTATGGAGCTGTGCGCCGGCGGAGAATTGTTCGACCGGATTATTGCCAAGGGCCACTATTCGGAATGCACGGCGGCCTCCCTTTGCCGGCAGATTGTGACGGTGGTTCATAATTGCCACTCCATGGGAGTTATGCACCGGGACTTGAAGCCCGAGAACTTCTTGTTTTCGAACACTGATGAGAATTCGCCTCTCAAAGCTACGGATTTCGGCCTTTCCGTGTTCTTCAAACCAGGTCTCTGCGATCTTTTCGTTCTGTTTTTTTCCTTAACTAATGTAATTTGTTTAATGTTGTACTCAAAAAGGAAAAAAAAACATGTAATTAGCTTAGAAATTGCTTCTTCAGTCGATCAATTGTATATTTTAAGTTATTTGTAGGGTGAGTTTAGGATGGTTTCTAAAAAGATTAAATTTTTACTAGCACTTTTGAAAGAAGCACCAAGTGTGTGTTTGAGATCTTTTTAAACTGTTGTTCGGAAGAATGACTAATTTAGAGGGTGTTTAGTGTAACTTCCCAAGTGATTTTATATAACTAAAAGGTCTTTTAAAAAAATCTATGGTATTTAATAATAAATAAAAGGTATTTAAGAAAATATAGAGTGGTTTAAAACAATTTTTGAAAAAACACTCTTAAGATGATTATTTAGAAAGTGACTCACAAGTCACTCTTGTTAAGTATATTGAGAGATGATTATTCAGAAAAGGTGAAGCTCAACTTAATTATATTGAAAGGATTTTTAGTGTTTTTAAGATTTTTTAAAGTCACTTTTAATTATTTAACTATAAGAATTTTGAAAAGTATTTTTAATGGGCTACCACCACTTTTTACTCTCATTTCTAGTTGAGTTACTATTTCAAAGTCACTTATGGTTGAGCTTTTAAACTGACAAAAAACAAGAACAGATAAACAAATTAGGAGGATTAAATTAACACAATAAATGAAGTTGCAGCAGGATGAGTTATAAACAAAACGAGTAAAGCACTAGGTTCATCCTTTGTTAGGAATTGCATTATATATAGAAAATCTATAACTCAGTTGTTATGATGATAGTGAATTCTCACTTTTCACTTTGAAGTTCTATCATTTGTATGATAAAGAGTTATTCAATTGTTGACTTGGATATGTTGAAGATCATTGGTGGTGATTGGTTTGAGTATGACGATTTTGCATGCTAGGATACAGGTGATGTTTTTAAAGATCTAGTTGGAAGTGCATACTATGTAGCTCCAGAAGTTCTTCGCCGAAATTATGGACCCGAGGCTGATATTTGGAGCGCTGGCGTTATACTGTACATTCTACTATGTGGTGTTCCCCCTTTCTGGGCAGGTTCCTCCTATATCTCTTTCTCAACATCAAGCACTTTTTGGTGATTATGCCATTTGGACACAGACTTGGTTTCTCTATCTTGTCTAAATAGTACAATGTCTGGCAGTTCTCCAAATGGCATGAATAAAAAAATGTTGTAATTGGAGCAAGATTTTAGGATGTTCCAATTTTTTTGTTGCATAATATCATTATCAGCAATCCAGTGGTTTTGGGTCCTCAGAGTTCTTTGATTCTCTTCATTTACAGAGAATGATCAGGGTATTTTTGATGCTGTTCTTCGGGGACATATCGATTTCTCGTCGGATCCATGGCCTTCCATATCCAGCAGTGCCAAAGATCTGGTTAAGAAGCTCTTGCATTCTGATCCTAAAGAGCGATTATCATCCATTGAAGCCCTAAGTAAGTTTCCATCTCCAAAACAATGTACCATATTTGGAGCTTTAATAGAAAAAAGGATTTAACATGCTGGTCAGTTTGTCTGCAAAATAAATGGAGACATTTTGATCAGATGAATCTTCTGCTGATATTGTTTGGATATGGCCCACCCTTAGTGGCAGTCTCCGACACAATCTTGGGTTTAAATCTCCGTCCTCTTTCTGTTTTGCTCGAAAATATGCTATATTTGGACAAGCAAAACTCATATTGTTTGGCCACACTGCCTCTGCAAATGAAACTGAAGTGATGATAATTTAGTTGCACTTTTGATGAAGGCAATGAAAAATGTATACTTTCAATAATAATAGGTATTTTTCATTTGTTTTGTTTTATGATACCCAACTTCTGATATTCAAATGTTATAACATGCAGATCATCCATGGATGAAAGAAGATGGGGAAGCATCTGACAAGCCTCTTGATATTGCTGTTTTGACTAGAATGAAACAGTTCAGAGCAATGAACAAACTCAAGAAAGTAGCTCTAAAGGTGAGAGAATCTTCCATAATGACATCAGTTAAAAAGTCTTTTTTTTTTTTTACTAAAAACACAAATTTTCATGAGAAAAACTGGTGAAGGAGGAAAGCTGAAAATTGGTTTTCTCCTTACAAGAAAAACGATGGAGAAAGGTTTCATGATTGCTTCAACTAGATATCTTAAAATGTTGTTTCATTTGCTGTAGGTGATTGCTGAAAATCTTTCTGAAGAAGAAATTGTGGGATTAAAGGAAATGTTCAAGTCGATGGATACCGATAACAGTGGAACTATCACGTTCGAGGAGTTAAAAGCTGGTCTTCCGAAACTTGGTACAAAGCTTTCCGAATCTGAAGTGAGGCAGCTGATGGAAGCGGTATTTTTACTTTTGTTCCCCCTTTGTTGTGTCTTTCTGCTTTCTAATTGACTTACTCCGTACGTAGTCTTGCTGCTTAAACAATTACAAAGCTTTCTGTGCTTCTTTTCAGGCCGATGTGGATGGAAATGGATCAATTGACTACATCGAGTTCATTACTGCTACTATGCACATGAACAGAGTAGAAAGAGAGGATCACTTATTCAAAGCATTTGAATACTTTGACAAAGACAAGAGCGGGTAATCTTTGTTGGTTTGTTTTAGTCTATGATTTCGGCTTTGGATACGCATACCTCGTGTTGAGTTTGCTATTCCTCTTGCTCTCATTTAGATATATCACAATGGAGGAGTTGGAGTCTGCCCTTAAGAAGTACAATATGGGAGATGAAAAAACAATAAAGGAGATCATTGCAGAAGTTGACACAGATAATGTACAATTATCTTCTTCCTTTTAGTTTCTTTCTCAACTGCATCTCTCTCTTGGTCTGTCGCCGATCAATTTCTCTTAAACGTAGTTCGTAGATCATATGATTCTGGTAGTTTTAAATTCCATCAGCATTTTCATAATTTCCTATCAGAATATAGTAATGCAAGTGTTCTCCATATCATATTCCTATTTACTACATTATTGGCATTGAGATATCGACCGATACATTTTAAATCTATGAATTAGCTTAACTCAACTGATGAAACTTCTTTCCCATGATGGTAAGCGCGGTTTTTCTCTCGACAGCATGTTTGAATACTCCATGAAACTTATTTCATATGATAGTCCAGTTGCAAACAACATTAAAACTCTGGTCTGATGTCCAGCCTCTTTGCTAATGAAACATTTCTGATTCCTTTTAACACCAGGATGGACGAATAAACTATGACGAATTCGTTGCAATGATGAGGAAGGGCGACCCGGAGTTAACAGCAACCCGACGGCAAAAATGAAGCTGCTTCGTCTGCTGTCTGCATGACTTTATGTGATTTTGACTGTGTATGTTTGTTCGATTTGAGTTGAATTCCCTAAAGAGAGAAAGAGTTGTGTTCAGTTTTGCTCCATTCAATGGCTGCCATTAAATAGGGGAATGAGCTTCCATCTTCCCCATTTACAGGAGATTTCAACTATTTTGATGTCTCCCTTTTTTCAAAGACTTGAGTGTGTATGAGCAGCAAAATGAGCAGAAATGTCTCCTAGGAATGTTGTGTTTTAGAGTGTATGTAAAGTTGAAAAATTTGTTCTCATCTTGAGTTTGTTTGGCAGTGAGCTTGTAAAACATCCTATTACTATATATATTTGTTATTGAAAAAATGTGGGTAATTTAGATTCTGTTTCTTGTTTTCAAATTTATTGAATCAAATGGATTATATGAATGACTGGAGAAATTTTGAAAACAACATTGTTTTCCTATTTTGAGTTTGAAACTTTAAAGTTGAATTATATTAAAATGATAAAAACTTGGATAAATATATTATATCATGTCATAAACTTTAATTAAAAAAATATGAAATATATTATATTATAAAAATATATAGTATTGTAAAATAATAATTCAAAAAAATTTATAGCACATACGTTAATAAATAAATTAATATTATTTTAAATATAATTAAATATTTGGTTGGTAATTAGAACTAATTTACGAATATACTACTAAATCTGTTGAACAATTTATTAAATTGAGATTTAATTTTCAAATATGTTAGACAAACATATATCTAAAAGTATAAAAACAACTTTTTTTTTCGTTGAATTGGTGGAAAGTGTGATTGCTTTTAACTTTGAGTTTCAAATACAGAGGCAGTGGCAGGGAATTTGGCAACTTGGCCAAATTGAACTGTGTTGATCAATTCCCATATCATATTACATCACATATCACACTTTCCCATAACCCTCTTTCCCTCCATCATCAAAATTCATCTGGATCCAATGAGACATCTTCATAATCCTCAATTTAAGCTTACAAAAATCTTTTAGATTTTTTATCATAAGTTTTATGTGATTAATATTACGTGTTTGAATGTCTCCGATATGAAAATACATAAAAAAAAATTAAAATAAGTGATACAAATTAAGCGAATACAACTCAACGGTAATTATAAATAAATAAATGAGACTTTTTTTTTATTTCTCCCGCTTAAAAACAATAAACAAGAGAGAGAGAGAGAGAGAGAGGGAATGAAAGTTGTCGTTGTCCAAGAATTTGAAGAGTCGAAGGAGAAGTGGGGAAATGTCCGAGGAATTCGGATCAGTTGCGTCTAGGTTGTCCTACGTGGGTAAAGTGGGCCCCATCTTCCACTACAGGCCCAAGTTGCGATTACCGGAGAGCTGGGGGTCTCCTAAAATCAATATTGATTTATTATTTGTTTCCATGCTACCTTCAACAATTTTTTAGATGGTTAAAGAAATAATAGAATTCGAAACAAACATAGAAAAACTTGTTTAGAATAATTAAGGGTCCTTTCATGATATCCATGTTTCCTCCTTTTTCTAATAAAAAAAAATGAATTCAACTACGATGAAACAAAGTTTTTATTTATGTTTTGAAACAAATTGAAAATGAGAAAAATAATGAAGAAACTTATTTTGATTGTTTCCAAAATTTCATACAAATTTTGAGAATGTTCCTAAAAAAAATGAAAAACAAGAATCATAGTTAGTTGCAAAATGCTTAGATTTTTATAAAAAATTCGAAACAATAAACAAGAAACGAGGATGTTATCAAACGGATCCTTAGTTGACACTAAATAAACTTAACTTTTTAATAGCGGTAATAAAAATTACAAGTAAATAAATAACGACATGTCCACCCCCACAACTACAACCACAATTAATCATATTAAAAGTTAACTTTGTTGGAGTGTCGGTTAAGTATTATAGACAATGTACTTTGATATGTCATGTTAAAACTTCTTTCAAAAATATTAACGAATATTTGTGTAAATAATATATATCTTTTTCTAGTATTTAAACTTTTGAAAATATAATCTGGATACAAGTACCTCCGTACCTTTAAGTATATCCATGATGATATGATATGATATTCTTTCATCATCTATATACCCTCTCCTCTAATTAAGATTCTCAATTGATGTTATCTATATATTATGAATCACTTTTTTTTCCTAATCAATACCAGAAGAAGATATATATATATATATATATATATATATATATATATATATATATATTAGTTGGAGGGTAATTTAGGGGAAGCAAGAGGCATGGGTTATCTTATCTCCAAGACTCGCATGTCGGCGCAAACTCTGAGAATTGAGAAAGAAACATAATTCAGCAATTCTATTAAGTAAATAAAGAAAGGAAAAAAGAAAAGTGTGTGAATAGAGGCATGAGACAGCCGATTGTTGGAACCGTGAAGAGAGTGGCACGTAACCACCAAAGGTGGGACTCGGAATCCGAGGTATGTGCCTAACAAACTGCAAACCCAAAAACAAACACAAACACAAAACAAACCGGATGTCGCCGCTTCTCTCGCTTCCCCCTTATAAACACCCCATCTCCTCAAACTCACACAATTGTTCAAGTTCAAATTCAAACTCAAATTCAAATTCAAATTCAAATTCAAATTCACAATTCACAATTCACAATTTTGATTTCTGGTTGTCAAAATGGAGCAGAAGGGGCTGCTGCTGTCGGCGTTGAGCGTGGGGGTGGGCGTGGGCGTGGGGCTGGGATTGGCCACCGGCCAGAGCGTCGGAAAATGGTCCGCCGCTTCCTCCGCCGCCCTCATCACCGCCGACAAACTCGAACAGGAAATGCTTAAACAGATTGTCGATGGCCGACAAAGCAAGGTCACTTTTGATGATTTCCCCTATTATCTCAGGTAATTTGTTTTCTAAACTTTTTTTTACAAGATCAAGATCTAAATAGACATATATTTAGTCCTTTTTTCCGTATGTACGTATGGTCGTAATCAGATGTGTAATTTTCCGAGAAAATCATCGGACGAAGATTCTAAATTATTTGGGAAAAAAAAAACAAAAGAGAGATGGCCTTTTTTTTGTGTGTCCTTATCACATGATCTATTTTGGTGCATAAAGATAACATTGGGTTCCCACTATGATCGGTCTCTCGTAATCTCCTAATTATTCTTCTTGATTGTTTGTCGTTTCCAATTTTTAATAAGTAAATAAATAACTAACTGTTTCTTAATTATCTTTCTTTTTTTTTAATTGAAAAATAATCATAAATATGTTTGTATTCTCTAAAGTTTTGAATTAAAAAGGTCAACATTTTAATTGATATTTATTATGCAAGATTAAAAGTTGATTGTATTGTTTCTAGAATTTATACATAATTTTAGAATTTTTCTTTAAAGGAAAAACAAGAAACAACCAGAACCAAGAAACAAGAACCGATACTAAGTATATGCTTATGATTTTCAATATTATAAGGAATAAATAAAAGCAATATTTTTTTAAATTACTTTAATTGAAAAATATTGCATGAAATGAACCACCTGTGGAGGTGGCAGGTTTGTGACCAAATTGGGACACTTCTCCCCGATTCAAGTCCCATAAGGCATGCAGTCGGGGCTTTCTTCCCGATTGGGGATGAGTTCTATGCAACGTGGATTACAGTGTTGGGTGGTTGTTGATACCCTCGGTGATAGGGATCCAACTGGTGAACCCATGCAATGTGGATTCCGGGTTATAAAGAATATATATACTGCATAATATATGCGATTTTGTGTTTTGATTCTCTGGGAAACCAAAGAGCTGAATCATGAGTGTATTTGTGTTGGGAATTTTTGTATTGTGCGAGGACAGTGAACAGACACGAGTTCTATTGACAAGTGCTGCGTACGTCCATTTGAAACATGCTGAAGTTTCAAAGTTCACTCGAAATCTCTCTCCTGCAAGTCGAGCCATTTTGCTCTCTGGACCTGCTGGTCTCTCTCTTCTCTCTCTTGTAAATATTTGTTCAAAAGTTGTAATCTTTGCTTTGGGTTCTGATCTTTTTGTTTCCATTGAAGAACTTTACCAACAAATGCTTGCCAAGGCATTGGCCCACTACTTTGAAGCCAAGCTGTTGCTTTTGGATATCACTGACTTTTCTCTAAAGGTGAAATTCATACATTTTATTACATTTTTGTGGGGTTTCTTTCTTTTTGAATTACTATTCAATTTAGTGTTTTTAATGATTCAGATCCAGGGCAAATATGGCACTGCAGTCAAAGAACATGTAAGCTTTCTAACTTACAAAACATGTGATTTGAATTTCTCTCTCTGATTTTTTTGTTTAATGTTCATATAGGGTTTTAAAAGGTCTACTTCAGAGTCAACATTGGAGAGATTGTCTGGCTTGTTTGGATCATTTTCTATCCTTCCACCCAGGGAACAACAAAAAATAGGTTGGTTTTTTGGCTAATACATATATTTATAACTATATACATAATGATCGAACCTTCTAGGATATTGATCCAGTATTGTTAAATATGGTGTTTGAGAAATCGAGACTAATTAAGGTATGTGGGTGGTAGCTGGGAATAAGAAATGGGTATTCTAGTAATTGTCATACATATGATTTTTATTTTGATTTCAGACAATTTTAGTAAACGTCTTTTATGTAGCATTTTCATCTCCATTTCCGATCTTGGGCTAACCGAGATGTTTGGCTGTAGGTTCATTGCGAAGGCAAAGTAGTGGTGTGGAACTTTCATCATGGTATGATTAGCCTACTTATTCTTTCTTTGTCTATATAATCTTCACTATTTCAATGAAATGTACAACATACAAGATTATACATTTATTGTAAATTCATGAGTACCTACAAAAATATTGTCATTTTGTAGATTACCATAATAAAATTACACTAATGGAACATAATATTGTGGGGATATATCAATAGTTTTCAGATTTAAGTCTTAGACCTCATGGGAAGAGGGAAAAAAAAAGGAGTAGATGCCTTAACTACGAAGTTATGCTTACGTTAGCAAATTAGTCGAGCCCTTAGACAGACAAGGATCTTGTTATGTATCTTGTGTTTTGATTTGCAGGGGAATGGAAGGATCTTCCAGTCTTCCGAAACTTCGAAGAAATGCCTCGGCCTCGGCTAACATCAATAACCTTGCAACACACTGCAATGTTGAGAAGCCAGGTCTGCCATATTCCATATCCAATGACTAGCGAACTTATTAAAATATTTCAAACAAAGTCTCTGGGAATTTCCTGTCTCATGATTCAAAATTCCCTTCAAATTTTATTTTTGACCAATGTGGTACAATTTTTTGTGGTTCTTTTCGGGTTTGACACTGTTGATTGTTCTCTTTTTAGATTTCTCGACTTAGTTTGAGTTTAATTGTTTGTAGCTCCCCTTAAGCGCACGAGCAGCTGGTCCTTTGAGGAGAAACTTCTTATACAGTCTCTGTATAAGGTAATAATGAGTAGCATTCTTCACCGATTTAATTGAAATTTATATGATTTTTGGTTAGAACATAGGCTTTTTATTTGTATGCAGGTTCTTCTATACGTGTCGAAAGCGAGTCCGATTGTTTTATATCTTCGTGACGTAGATAGGTTCTTATCCAAGTCAAATAGGGTGTACAACTTGTTCCAGAAAATGCTTCAGAAACTATCTGGATCGATTTTGATTCTTGGTTCAAGAACTATTGACTCGAGCAATGATTATATGGAGGTGGACGAGAGGCTTTCTGCTCTTTTTCCTTATAACATCGAGATCAGGCCACCCGATGATGAATCTCATCATGTCAGCTGGAAGTCCCAATTGGAAGAGGATATGAAGACGATCAAGGTTCAGGACAACAGAAACCATATCACGGAAGTTCTTTCAGCGAATGATCTCGACTGTGACGATCTCGATTCGATCTGTGTTGCTGATACCATGGTTCTCAGTAACTACATAGAAGAGATTGTGGTGTCTGCCATTTCTTATCATCTAATGAACAACAAGGATCCTGAATACCGAAACGGAAAACTGATCATTTCAAGCAAGAGGTAAGATCAATTCTTTGTGGTTGGGTTCTCAATTGTCGGTTTTAAGTACTTATAGTTTTGGGGTATGGAGCAGTTTGTCCCATGGATTGAACATATTCCAGACAGGAAAATCCAATGGCAAAAACACTATAAAGCTTGAAGCACAAGCCGAAGCATCGAAGGTTCATATATATTTTAGTTCGACCATTATATTTTAACGTCTTGAGGACAATCAAATAAGTTTGTTGAGGGCTTTAATTTTGTTATCTCTAGGACTCAGGACTGATGAAAACCGAAGCGAAAGCTGATACCGCGGCTCCCGAAAACAAAAGCGAAACGGCATCTACTACAGTGCCAAAAACCGAGGGAGAGATAGCTGTTCCAGCTGCAAAAGCTCCTGTAGGTCTCTAATTCTGAATCATCTTTTCCCTATCAGTGGCATTAATTACTGATGTTTGTATTGTTATAAAATGTCACATAGGAAGTTCCACCAGACAACGAGTTCGAGAAACGCATTAGGCCTGAAGTCATACCAGCGAACGAGATTGGTGTTACATTTGCTGATATTGGGGCCATGGAAGAGACAAAAGAATCCCTTCAGGAACTCGTAATGCTTCCTCTCCGGAGGCCGGATCTATTTCTCGGAGGGCTGTTAAAGCCCTGCAGGGGCATATTGTTGTTTGGACCGCCCGGAACTGGAAAGACTATGTTAGCCAAGGCCATAGCCAGAGAAGCCGGAGCAAGCTTCATTAATGTATCAATGTCTACCATAACTTCCAAATGGTTTGGAGAAGACGAGAAAAACGTCCGTGCTTTATTCACGTTGGCCGCCAAAGTGTCTCCCACCATTATATTCGTAGACGAGGTAGATAGCATGCTCGGGCAGCGGACGAGAGTAGGCGAGCATGAGGCAATGAGGAAGATAAAGAACGAGTTCATGACTCATTGGGATGGACTCTTGACAAAGCCAGGGGAGGGCGTGCTCGTTCTAGCAGCAACAAATAGGCCATTCGACCTCGATGAAGCCATCATACGGCGTTTTGAGAGAAGGTATATCTTCTTTTCGTGATGCGACATTCAATGTCCCCCGAGTGTTTCAAATTGCACTCACAAACAATGTTGATTGTACCCGTGCCTGTGCTATATGTTCAGATGATTTTCTTTTAGATCAAACCTGAAAGCCAAATTTTATGAACAGAATACTGGTGGGGTTACCAACAGCAGAAAATAGAGAAATGATACTGAGAACTCTTTTGGCAAAAGAAAAGGTGGAAGAAGGACTGGACATGAAGGAGCTTGCAACAATGACAGAAGGATATAGTGGAAGTGATCTCAAGGTTTGATTTTAATTGCACAACTAATTATATTTACTTTTGAAGTTCCAAATGCAGTTACAAGTTTCTTGACTGAGACATTGCTTTCGAAACCAGAACTTCTGCATGACAGCTGCGTATCGACCTGTTCGCGAATTAATTCAGCAAGAACGACTAAAGGATCTTGTAAGTACAAGGGAATCAATAGGGGCAGTTTTCTGTCTTTTCATTTCCTTTGCTTTCATGTAAGATTCAAGACCGACCCTGTGTCTTCGCTGCGTTGTCTGTTTTTTGTAGGAGAAAAAACGAAGAGCTGCTGAAGGACAGAATGCAGCAGGGGATGCAGCAGCAGGGGAAAGCAAAGAAGAAAGAGTAATCACTCTCAGAGCACTAAATTTGGAGGACTTCAGACTAGCAAAGAATCAGGTAACAGTTCATCTCCTTGTCCTTTTTACCATTTTCTTGAAATCTCTTCTCAATCTCAACCCATCAGAATCTGTTTCCTTTCCCCTCCTCGTTCTTCGGCCCCAAAAACGATCTCGAAATTCAAGTTTTACAAGATCAGTTAAAATGGTTGGTTTTTTTGTTTCAGGTTGCAGCCAGTTTTGCAGCAGAAGGGGCAATGATGAGTGAGTTGAAGCAATGGAATGACTTATATGGGGAAGGTGGATCAAGAAAGAAGCAACAGTTGACATATTTCCTGTGAGCTTAGGCCATGGATGGATTATACATTAAAATGGGCTATAATTTTCCCTTCAAAACATGAAGATTATGTTGTAAGTTTTAGGGGTTATTTTTTTTTGTTTTTTCTTTCTTTTATGTGAGGAAGCTGTGTTTGTGTAAATATGAGGAAAATGGTTTGTATGATGTGTTGGAAAGTTTGATTTGTTCCATTTGTGTGGGGCTGGGCAGTGGGCTGTGTTGTGGGGATTACATAGGCAGCTAGTTTCTTTGTATGGGCTGGTGCTGTTCTAACAGCAAAAACAAGCAAGCCTATTTTTACTTTTAGTTGTGATTTCACTATCTTTCAATATTTTGTATGAAATCATTTCTTTTTGGTGTTTTTTTTCTCGTTTATAATATAATTGTTGTTAGATATTTTTTTCTTTTTCAAAAGAATTATCTTTTGCTCGACTTGTACAGTGGATTTTTTTTTAACGGGGAGTTGAAGTTTTGCTCCTCTGTACTCATAGGTATCAATGAGTACACGCGTGTGTCTCGAGGTCCGATCTTAGTAGACATCAATGATTTTTGGTATGTTAAACTTAAAAGTGTGGACTTGAAACCAAAAGATTGTATGTCTTTACCAATTAAACTGTCCAATTAGTACAATGTTTACCCCAGGGTTTTATTTGAAGAGTCATTAAAAGAGAGGTACTGTTTTGTGTGTCGAGTGAATTATAAAATGTATTATTTTGCGAGTCTGAGTGAATTATAAAATGTATTATTTTGTGTGTTTATGAATTATAAGACTCATGTCTAGTACAATTATTTTACCCTTTTATTAAAATTTATGACAAGCTCTGAATTGCTTAAATTTGATTTTGTGTCAAGTTTGATTTTTTTTTAATTATTGAAATTAGTGAGTATTTTTTAGAGATTTTTTAATTTTATTTATTATTATTATTATTATTATTATTATTATTATTATTAGAATTGGTTGATGAATTAGCTGAAATTAAATGGAAAGTAAAATTTGCAACATATATATGACTTCAATTTTAATAATGTTAAAAATTAAAGATGAAAATTGGTGCACCTTGCCAAAATTAGGGGNTTTTTTTTATGTAACTTTGAAAATCATATCATACTTAAAAATTTCATTCAAAAGTTCTCATTTGGAGAATGTTTGAAATCTCATCAATTAAAAGAAGAAAAGAAAGCTCAAATTTGTTTAGTTGGTGATCTAAAATCATAAATTTGAAAACAATAAATTCAATAAAAAACAGGATTTATATTTTATGTTTTTAATGTTTTCGGATATATATTTGATAGTAAATTTAAAAATTGTTAAAGGTGTTTAGTTTTATATTTGTAAACCTGTTGTAGTTTCTAATTAAATATTTACTTCTATCTAAAATAATATTAATTAGTTAATTAACCTATATTATAAATTTTGTAGAATTATTATTTTATCATATGATATAAATTTTGAAATATATATTTAATTTTTAATTTTAACAAAAATAAATGAGTTTATAACATTAAATAATACATTTATCAAAATTTCTTTTAAAATTTCAAATTCAAAATATGAAAATACTAAAATCATAGTTGTTTTCAGAAATTACACTCTTTGAACCACATCATCTAAAAACAGTTTAAAAGAAAAACAACTAAACAAATATTTATTGAAATCAGTCCATTCAAATGAAAACAAAGAAATAGAATCTGAATTGCATCTTTTTTCTTTCTTTTTTTTTCTAATAAAAGAAACATAAATATAAAGACAATCTCACTTATTGTGGATAACATATGTATTTATTAATCAAAATAAGAAAAGAAAAAAGATTATTTAAAAATTTTCAAATAAGACAAAAGGAGTTAAAAAAGCTAAAAAGTATGATAAAGTAAACATGAAAACTAAAGGTATAGATATGTATTAAAGAAAAATAAAAGAACAATGTCATTCCCACAAAAAATGCCAAAATTTGTGATTACTATCATCATGTTGTCTCTACTGCTCAAAATTGTAGCTTTATGGACCCACTAATAAATAAAAGCATCAATTTTATAGAAAGTTAAAAAAAAAAATTTCTTTATATAAAAAAAAATTATTAAAAATAAACCTTTGAATTCTATATTAAAATAACGATTCTGTTTTTGTGCTTTCAAGTTGGTAATAATTTAATTCTTGAATTAGGATGTAACAATTTATTTCTTATAATTCCAATATATAACATTTTAATCTATATCGTAAAAAAATTCATAAAAAATAAGTGTCGCCTTTTATCATATAACAATTTCGTTGTCGTAATTTATGAACACGTTTGGTCGTTCATCAATTTATCAATTTACGTATAAAATTTTAATAATAATTTTCATAATAAGGAGTAAATCATTACGAATTTTAAAATACAAAGACTAAATTATTGCATACTAAAATGCAGGTATTAAATTGTTACTAATTTAAGGTCGTTACTAAATTTTTATTTAAGTGAAAGTACAATAATCATAAGTATTTTTTACTTAAAAAATCTCGCTTTACTAAAATGAGTCGTTTTGTACTCTTTTGAAAGTTAAAGGCCGAAATCTTTCATCTTTTATCATACCAAATAGGAAAAAAAAGATTACCAACATGAGTTCTAGTCTAATTGACACGTGTCTAACCAAGATGTCATGACTTAGAATTCACTCCTCTCATTTGTGCTATTGAAAATAAAAAATAAAAAAAATCTCACTCAGGTATTTACAATGAATTCAATTGCTCTGTTTCTACCTATGGAGCTCCAATTATGGTAGGATTAAGCATGTAATATTTAAGGATATTTTATTAAGGAAAATTTGAATGACTCAAATCTAATTTTAGTTTTTTTTTTGTTAAAGAAAAATAAAATAATGATATTGTTATTGGAAGAGGCGATCAAAATAATGAAAAAAATATTAGAATGGCTAAAAAAAGCAATTTGACTCACACCCTCTTGATTGTAGATATGTGCTATGAATGGATAAAGTCAAACTCGACGTTTAAGCTACATAATAAATATGAGTCTTAGTTATAACAGAGGACGAAATAGACTCAAATCGAAAAAGTCCAACGGAAGCACAAGGCTTGGACCACTAGGAGTTGAAACACGATTGATCGAGGCCAAAACCAACCAGGTATTAGCTGACAACTGGTTGGCTCCGACAATTCTTCGACCACTTGAAGCCTCTCTTTAGAAAGCTACGTTTCCTAGAAGTAAAAATGATTCAACTCCTATAAATAGAAAGAGAGGCTGAATCCTAGAGGTATGCAAAATAACTACTCTTAACTATACCACTTTCAACTTTCGATTCTAATCTAAGCATACCATACGGGTGTTCATTGTTTTTTGTTCCGCATCAACAAATATTTTAAGGATTAGAGCTATATTTAGATTGGCAATTAAAATTTATTCTCAAACAAACTTTGTTTATATATATATATAAAACAGAGGGAGAAGATATCTTAAATATAAAAATTAATTTAAGGTGAAAATAAATTAAATTTGAGTTTTCCAAGCGAGGGTGTTTTTCCTTTTCACTTTTCGGCTAGTCGGCTACTTTATTTTCTGCTTTCGGCCGCTGGACTTTGGAGTTATGGTTGGTTCATCTGTAAATTTGTAATGTAATTAGAACACAATAAAAAAGTATAATAATTATAAAACAAATCCAAATTAATTTTTGTCTTCTCTTTGAGAAGCTATTTTAGTCAACCCTATTTACATCTAAAAAGGCAAAAAAAAAAAAAAATTATTTTATTTGATTAAATGACACTTACTTCACGAATTTAGAAGACTGGATTTTGATAATTTAAATCGAAAACTTAGAGTTGATGTTTTGCTACACTATATGTTAAACTAGAAGTATTTTTTTCTTACCACATCGCACTCCAACAAATTTACGAATTACAAAATAATTGTGCGACACTTCCTTCCACCCATAATACAACACGAGGCTATACTGATGGTACAATAACTCTGTTAGATAAGTTGGATTTTCTAACAAATGGTGGCTATTAATTAAACTAAAAAACAGAGTTTGCAATATTTTTGAATTTATGGCTAAAATCTGTGCAATTATTGGGCCATTGAGATTGGAGCTCTCCTTTGACTCTCTTTTGAAAATCCCCATTTTTAAGTGATTTCTTGTTCTTTTATCCTCATTTTTCATCATACCTACAATCAAATCAATCAAATAAAGTGGATGCTCGTGCCTTTTATTTTATTACAATTTTTGGGTTTGATTTCCTTTCTTTGATTCTTTTAACTAATAAAATATAAATGATTTAATATTATTATTTTTTTTCTAATTTTGTTTTAGTTCTCAGTAACATTCTCTAAAATGGTGAATAAATTAACTTTTCTTCTGTATGTATATAAAGTTTTGAGTCAAAATCTCTAAGACTAATCACTGATAAACTTCTTTTTAGTCTTAAAAAAAATGTTAATTTAAATATTCAACATTTTGGTTTATAACTAAATTAATAAGTCAAAATATATTTAATATATATCTGTAATACTATCTCTCACAGAACTTTTGTAATAACAATTAGGTTAACTTTTAAATAATCTTAATTTTAATGGCAATATATACCACATATCTCACTTGTAATTTAACTTATTTAACTTTTAAAATATATATTTTTTAGTATACTTGTTTAGTTCACAACAAATGGGAGGTAGGGATTTTAGCCTCTTAAGAAAATAAATAACACCTTAACTATTTTTTTATTCTTTTCAGAAATAATTGTTGGATTTTTAATGCGTAAAAGATGAGGAAATTTGAAAATATTGATAAACAATTTAATATTCGAAAATTAAATTTGTAACTATTAATTCAAACCTAGGTTGTGAATTTTATTTTTCATTTTGTTTATTAATTATTTATTTATTTCTTTAGTTGTTATGTTTCTACCTTTGGTTAAAATTTAAGTTATATGTTTAAATAAAAGAGTTGTTTCTTAATTTTGTTAAAGTTATTCTTAAGAATGAACACACCACCACTCAACCCAAAAACTTAAGTTGATGGGTTGGGTAAATTTAATTCATTTATAGGGATTCTAACAGCTACCTATGTAAAAGTACATATGTGTTAAAGTTACTAGAGATGTTACATGTTTGTACAACTATATATTCATCGTTTGAGATATCCAAACATATTTGAGTTCTTCTCTTCTCACAAGAATTCTCTCTTCGTTGTTCTTGTTTGTGTTGAGAGCAAATATCTAAAATTTCTACAGTCTAAGTAGTTCGATGTTGCTGTTCTACGAAGTTAGTCATTGTATCATGTTAAAACAATCGCTACAGTCTGCTAGCAATTTATACAGAGCGAATATTTGTCTTCAGCCTACATTGAAGAGTG